GTCAATAAAACTTGGATATCAAATTAGATTGCGTTATACACGATTTGTAAGTACTATTATGACCTGTAATGCAATTATATGTGGCAAAATCTACTTGGGAATTATTCACTCAAAAAACAACTTCAAGTTTGGCTGCAAAACAGGAAGTCGAGAACTAAACAAGAGTATGGCTTGTTTGTTTTAGAATGCAAGAGTTTGACCCTAGACTTACTGATCAAATCATGTATGTATACCCAAAATTTCATTAAAGTGGATCAGCAGTTTTGGACATTGGCAGCTTGCCTTAAAGCCATCAGTAGCAGCCTTCACTACCTACACTTTTGGCATCAATGTTTCATGACCTAGGCTTCAAAATCTACATGTCATTCAGGGCTTAAATACCTACGCCTTCAGGAACTAGACTTTAAAGGCATCTTAAGGATCTGCGTTTGGAGGCCTTCACGACCCCAACACCCTACCATTCGTTGTGTCCATGATCATACTAGTTTATATGAGTGTACACATTGCATGTTCCCTAACTCTTACTTGAGCATAACCTTATTAAATACCTTTTAGATATATGGGTAAATACCTATTACCTTAAGTGCTTGATGACATTACATCTCCAACTTCAACCATACAAAACCCTTTTAGAATAGAATATGGAATGTAACCAAAAAACAGATCAATCTTAATGCGTTTTGGTGTTTTGGAACAGGTTTAGTCTCAAAATGAACCCTGAACTGAATACAAATTACACATTTTGAGGTTGAAAAAACTATATACGTATAAAATTCTATTATTTCAAGTTTGAAAAATAAAAATAAAAATAAAAATAACTATTATGGTGTGGAACTCAATGCTACCTAGCCGTTTAAAATATATTAAACTGAACTGACTTTTAAAAGTGATACGCCCCGGGATTTAGATCTCGTGACAGGTCCTGTGGTTGTGCTTCCTGCAGCCGTGAATACTGTTAAGACCTAATCTCCCTGGAGAGGAGACTAGGTTAAACTATTCTAAGAGATTAAAATAATTGATTTCAAGCATACTTTATTTCTCCCAAAAACCCCCTTTAAATAGGGCTAGAAAATCTTTTAAACATGGAAACTAAAAACTCAATCCTAACAGAATCCTTAAATGATTCCAACACCAAAAAGTAAATAATTTTCTTAACTTATTTAAATTAAAAATTCTAAATCGCAGATGCTTCTTTCTTCTTCCTGTGATACACCTTACCATATTTAGGATTGACACCCTCAGTATCCATAACATTACTCCCTCCCTCCAATTTGAGCTTGTCCTCAAGCTCATAATCAGGATAAGCTTCTAGAAATATCTCCCGCCTTTCCCAGGTCGCACTATTTTCATCTCCTTTAGACCACTGAACCAGTAACTCAGGCACTCCTTCATACCAACGAGCACGCAACACCTTGTAAGGTTTAAGCAGGGTTTTACCATCAACCAGATGTGGTAAAGCAGTAAAAAATTCTGGTGGCGCTCCTTGGTGGGGTTTTAACAGTGATATGTGAAACACATTGTGGATGCGGCTACCCTCTGGAAGGGCTAAACGATATGCGACGGATCCAATTCGTTGCACCACTCGAAATGGTCCATAAAACTTTGGAGAAAGCTTTGTGAACTTCGACTTAGCCACAGTGAGTTGTCGATAGGGTTGGAGTTTCAACCAAACCCAATCGCCTTCTTGAAATTCCAACTGTCTGTGGTGACTATCATAAGTCAATTTCATGCGTTGTTGAGCTTCAGCAAGTCTGACTTTGGCCACAGCTAAAAATTCTGACCGATCAATAAGCATTTGATCCACTGCTTCGACTTTAGAACGACCTGCAACATAATTAAGTAATTTGGGAGGATCACGCCCATAAACCAATTTAAATGGTGTATTCTTCAACGTTGTATGATAAGAAGTGTTATAACAGTACTCTGCCCATGGTAACCAGGCCAACCATGTGCGGGGTTTATCTCCCACCAAGCATCGTAGATACATTTCAATGGTGCGGTTGACTACCTCTGTTTGACCATCACTTTGAGGATGGCATGCTGTGGAAAAAGCTAACTGAGATCCAGATAGGCGAAACAATTCTTTCCAAAAAGCACTTTGAAATACTTTGTCCCTGTCTGAAACTATCGTTTCCGGCAGACCATGCAAGCGAAAAACCTCCGTAAAGAAGGCTTTAGCGACAGACTCGGCAATGTAGGGATGGCCGAAGGGAATAAAGTGACCAGACTTAGAAAATCGATCTATTATCACCAGCAAGACTGATTTACCCGACACCTTGGGTAATGCCTCGACAAAATCCATTGAAATATCCGACCATACGGACTTTGGAATGGGTAAGGCTGAAGAAGACCGGCTGGTTGGAGGGTTTCCCACTTATTTCGTTGGCACACGACACACTCTCGGATAAAAACTTGGATGGTAGCCTTCCAACCCTTCCAATAAAAATCACTGCGTATCCGCTCCATCGTCTTCTGTACCCCTTCATGAGTGGCATTAGGAACTGCCGAGACCACCTCATCAACCAGCGGAGAGCTGGATTTTAAATACACCCGTCCATCACGAATGATCAGCCCGTCTTTAACAGCCCACCTGCTATCCTCGATTCCGTCAATTATCCTTCTTCGCAATTCCCGAAGTTCATCATCCGTTTCAATTTCAACGCGTAGAGTGTCGAGTATTTTTGGTTACAAATCTGACATCAAAAAGAGTTCTCCGGTCTCGATTTGGTCCTCTCTCCTTGACAGCGCATCAGCTGCTCGGTTTAACGATCCCGCTCGATATTCGACCGTAAAATCAAAACCAAGTAATTTGCTAACCCAATGTTGTTGTGGGGATGTGGTTAGCCGTTGGTCCAGCAAGAATTTGAGGCTGTAGTGGTCGGTTTTGATCAAAAAGTGTCGACCCCATAAGTAGGGCCGCCAATGAGCCACGGCTTTAGCCAACCCAATTAGCTCTCGTGCATATGCCGGAAGCTTGTGATGTCGATCAGCCAATTTCCGACTAAAGAAAGCCACCGGATGATTGTTTTGTTGCAAGATGGCCCCAATTCCACTACCTGATGCATCGCACTCAATAATAAAAACTGCTGTGAAATCTGGTAATGCAAGAACTGGGGAGTTGGAGAGCGTGTCTTTCAACTGAGTAAAGGCGAGTTCGGACTCAGGGCCTCACACAAAACTGTTACGACGTAACATACCCGTCAATGGACCCGCGATGATCCCGTAATCCTTGATAAACTTACGATAGTATCCCGTTAATCCAAGAAACCCACGCAAGGTTCGAACGTTGTGTGGTTTTGGCCAATCAAGAATAGCTTCTATCTTCGTTTGATCGACTACTACTCCGTTTCCGTGAACAATGTGCCCCAAATAAACTACTTCTCGGCTCCCAAATGTGCATTTAGTTCGCTTTAAAAATAATTTGTGTTCCCGCAACAGCTCAAAAACGATTCGAAGGTGAGCCACATTGTCAGACATAGAGGGGCTATAGACTAAAATATCATCAAAAAAACGAGGACACACTTTCGTAGATATGCATGAATGACTTCGTTCATCAAGCTTTGGAATGTGGACGGGGCATTGGACAACCCGAAAGGCATCACGAGAAATTCAAAGTGTCCATGGTGAGTGCGAAAAGCAATTTTCTCGATATCAGGTTGGAACATGCGTACCTGATGATATCCCGACGTAAGATCTAACTTGGTGAAGACCGACGCACCATGCAGCTCATTGAGGAGCTCTTCAACCATAGGTATCGGAAATTTATCCTTCACAGTTTTTGCGTTGAGCTCCCTATAATCTACACAGAAACGCCACGTTTTATCTTGTTTTTTGACTAGTAGTACAGGTGAGGAAAATGGTGATTGGCTAGGTCTGATAGTCCCGCTTCTTAACATCTCTGTGCATTGCTTTTCGATTTCATCCTTAAGAAGATGAGGGTAACGGTAAGGATGGACAGCCACCGGTTCGGTGTTGACTTTGAGGCGGATTCGGTGGTCATACGGCCGAGAGGGGGGTAACCCCTGTGGTGTTTTAAATATATCATCAAATTCCTCCAAAAGATCGTCTAGATTTGGTGCTAGGCTATCATTCTTAGTGAGCACGGCCAAGCTTGCCGTGTCAGGGGACTCGCCAAACCACTTAATATTCTTCCCGTTAACCGTGAACTCCATTTCCCGGACCGTAAAATCCCATAATATCTTTCCTAGTTGTTGTAGCCATCGGATACCTAATACGATATCAAAACCTTCTAAAGGAATAGAAAACATATCAGCCTGGAATTTATATCCTTGTACCTCTACTGGTAAGTTTTTGTTGGTTCCGATGCTGGCCATTCTGCCCCCATCTGGAAGTGCGACCCGTAGTCCTGGTCGGTGTTGAATGGTTACCCCAAGTTGTTCAGCTACCCTTGTTGCTATGAAATTGTGGGTAGTTCCACTATCCAAAGGCACCCACGCAACTCCATTCCCAATCTTGGCCCGGACTTGAAAGGTTTGCTCCGTCTTCTCATCCTTGATTGCATTTAGCGATATTGTGGGGGTGTCTTCCTCATAATCATCATTTTCTTCCTCGTCTGCCATCATGATGCAAAACAGTTTAGCACATTCGTGACCAATAGAGAACATCTCATCACAATTGAAACAAAGGCCTTTAGCCCGTCTCTCTGCCATCTCTACTATTGTGAGGCGTTTAAAAGTTGGGTTGCGAGTTTCTGACTTCGTGGTTCCGGTCCCACCCGTGGTTGCCTCTCGGTGCATGTTCCTGTTTGATAAGGGTGCCCTAAAACTTCTTGGGCGACCTTCTTCTGCTAGTTTGAGCTCAATTTGTCGGGCGAGATTCATGGCATAGTACAACGTAGTGGGTCTAGCAAATTCTACCTCGTAGCGGAAAGCATTGATCAAACCCGCACAGAAATGTCATATGCTTTGGTCAGGAGTTACTCCTGTCGTCCTTCCCAGCAAGGACTCGAAATTCTCGCAGTAGTCTTCCACTGAACCGGACTACCTTAAACGGGTAATTTCACCCAACGGGTTCATACTCATTGGTAGACCGAATCTAATTTTGCATTCTTCTGAAAACTCAAACCAGTTCAAGCGTGTCTTCATCCGTCTCAGGTTGTGGTACCACCCGCTAGCTTTTCCTTGTAGTGAAAAGGTGGCCTGTCTCACCCAAGCCTCCGTAGGAGTCTGTTGCTCTTCAAAAAAATCTTCACACCTTTGCAGCCATTCGATTGGATTACCCTTTCCATCGTAGGTCGGAAACTCCATCTTGGCGAACCTTGGAATCCTCCCCCCGCGGTATCCTGTATCCCCACTATCGTTCCCTTCTTTTGGTGACTCTAGTCCCCGACGCTTGGATCCCTCAGGTTTAGCCGACTGCCAATTGGTTTTGAAGGGTTGTTGTCCTCCGGTGCGCCAGGACTCAAAATTCTTTCCTAATCCTCGTCCCATTCCTTCTTCGACCTGCCCTCTGCCCCTTCCGATCGATCCTGTACAGTAAGTCCACTTGCTGTTTGGATCAGTGCCAAAAGTCCACCCTCGGCCCCTTCCTCGACCGTGTTCTGGTGGATCCTCGAATTTCTCCCCCTCGAAACACATCTCTTCACTGTCTTGATCCTCCCCTTGTTTGTATGTCTTGTTCTGACTTTGTGCTTGTAATCCATCTTCTATCGCAGCTTGCTTGGACTGCAGGGTTTCAACAGCCGCCTTCAGATCATTGGTGCTGGTCTTTAATTCATTGGTGTTTTGTGTTTGTTGGATCATAAACTCTTCCAATTTCTTCATCAATTCATCGTTTGAGACAGACATCACGAGATTTGGCTCTGATACCAAACTTGATACGCCCCGGGATTTAGATCTCGTGACAGGTCCTGTGGTTGTGCTTCCTGCAGCCGTGAGTACTATTAAGACCTAATCTCCCTGGAGAGGATACTAGGTTAAACTATTCTAAGAGATTAAAATAATTGATTTCAAGCATACTTTATTTCTCCCAAAAACCCCCTTTAAATAGGGCTAGAAAATCTTTTAAACATGGAAACTAAAAACTCAATCCTAACAGAATCCTTAAATGATTCCAACACCAAAAAGTAAATAATTTTCTTAACTTATTTAAATTAAAAATTCTAAATCGCAGATGCTTCTTTCTTCTTCCTGTGATACACCTTACCATATTTAGGATTGACACCCTCAGTATCCATAACAAAAAGCTCTTAGAATATGAGATCCGGCGTTTTTTTTTTAAATTAGGAGTAGAGCTATTTGTAATATTGTTGCTTTGCAAAAATGCATATCAAGCGTTTGTAGTCCAACGGTTAGGATAATTGCCTTCCAAGCAATAGACCCGGGTTCGACTCCCGGCAAACGCATTATTTTAATCTAGCAAAGAATGTGTATGCTCGTAATATTATCATCCCATCAAACTGGAGCTCCTTGTTTTCTTTATCTTATTAAACCAGAACCACCCAAGTCCATGTGATATCCTTTTTTATTATCGTGCAGAACCCATCGAATAAGAAGGAGAATTTTTGATGCAAAATTGAATAGAGACCGCTTAGGCCCCTGCTGCATCAGAGTATAATTACATTGTTGTCAGTTTCATAACAGGTGATGTTCACTACAATAGGGTTTTGCATTTCCTAACGAAAGCCAAGGAGGAGTGTTAAGAATATGCTTTAGTCATGTCAAATAACTTTCTTTTTATTAGTTACTTAGGAAGCTAACTACTCATACTTGAATATTTAGGAAGTTGAATACTCCTGATTCTCTATAAATGTATTTCATGATAGGTATTCCGTCCTTAGTATACCATATGTCTAGGGTGTATTATGTTTCTCATGTATTTGTTTCATTTTTAAATGGATGGCAATGTTTAATTGTTTGATAAGTTTCTGATGGTATCTTCACTATTTTAGTACGTTGTTTATTGTAGGGGTGAGCATTTGGACCGAACCGGACCGGACCGGACCAGTTATGGAGAATATTGTGGACCGTGGACCGGACCGGATGAGTCGTGTCCGTGTCCGTGTCCGTGTCCGGGTTTTCCGGTTCTTGGACCCTTTTGGACCGGTACAACTTTAATTGCATAGAGTACAAGTCGTTAAAATAAGATTTTTGGTTTGATAGAACTCGTTAAAACGAATATGTTGTTGGGTTTGATACGATACAACTTGTACAAATGATTACGTTTCTGTTTCATGCATAACTAATTTACGTTGATGTTATAATATTAGAACTTGCAAAATTAATTTTGCAAATAAAAGAAACTAACATATAAATCAAGTTCACCAAGATCCCTTTCATATAATTTATCTGTCAAAGATACATAAAATTCAGAATTATAGTCTAAAATAATAGTTAAAAAGCTGAAATATTTCAGCTTTGATAGCTCAACTTTGAAGGATTGTAACTCACTAAATATAATACCAAAATCAACAAAATTATAGTCTAAATTCATCTACAAACTGTAAACTAAATTTTGGAAAAAAACCGAAGGTCAATCCGACTATGGTTTTTTAAAAAAATTCACAGATTACAAAATTTTAAAAATCTTGCTGAAAAGCTGAAAATTTTCACATTTGATAGCTCAACTGTGAAAGACTGTAACTCATTCAATATAATACCAAAATCAACAAAATTATAGTCTAAATTCATCTACAAACTGTAAATTAAACGTTGGAAAAAACCGCGTGTCAATCCGACTTAAAACGAATGAGTTATGGTTGATTAAAAATTTTCACAGATTATAAAATTTTAAAAATGTTGCTGAAAAGCTGAAATTTTTCAGCTTTGATAGCTCAACTTTGAAAGACTGTAACTCATTGAATATAATACCAAAATCAACAAAATTATAGTCTAAATTCATCTACAAACTGTAAATTAAACGTTAGAAAAAACGACGTGTCAATCCGACTTAAAATGAATGAGTTATGGTTGTTTAAAAAATGTCACAGATTACAATTTTTTTTTAAATCGGGTCCAACCGGTTCTAAATCCGGTAAAAACCGGACCGGACCAGGAAAAAAACCGGACCGGTTTTGACGAATTCCTAGAACCCGAGAACCGGCCCGGGGGTCCAAAAAAATGGTCCGGTCCGGTCCACCGGTCCAAATGCTCACCCCTAGTTTATTGTTTCTTTATGTCCATCATACTCGTTTTAGACACACCATTGTACACTGATTAGATAAAATGCTAAAATGGATTTGCAACTTGTTCTCTTATTAGTAGCTATAGTTCTCTTATTTGTAGCTTGAAAAGGACATGTATAGTTGGGGTTTCAAACTAACTGATTCCACAACATTTCTTGGAATCAAGGGTGTGTTTGGTACAGAGAAATGGAATTGCTGCGGAGAATGGAAATGTAGAGAAAGAGAATTAAGCTAGAGAAAGAGAATTGACTCCCCTGTTTGGTAGAACGGAGAATCCACTAGAGAAATGTTTTTGAGAATCATTTCTCTTGTTTGGTTATATTAATCAATGAAATGTAAATGAGTGTTTTTACCTTGTTTATTCATTTTCAACTAACATATTTTTTATAAAAATGCATTATGATGTACATCTTAATTAGTCAAAATATGCATCTTTTATGTTTTTTATTATTTTTTTATATTAATTGTTACTAAATAATTTATTTTCTAAACAATTAATACTATTTTTTATAAATATTGTTTTGGAAAACATATTTCTAATATAAAGGAATAACTTACAAATAGATTATAAGGATATATGAAAATCATACTATTCAAAAACTATGTCCAATGAAGGATATGCAAAAAGAATAATTCAATATTTCTAACAACTAAAAAAACATAACTATGTCCGATACACAATGTGCAAAGAGTCAACTTCAATATTCGTAAAAACTAAACAAAAAACATAACTTAAAATAACCTAATCATGATATTGATCCATCCCCTATCATTTCCATGTAACAAATCTTTTCTTCTTCTGTCATCTTAAAAAACGCCCGGGCACGAAATTGATCTTTGCTAAACATGTCAATCGCCTTAATTCGCTGTTTGACATTGATATTTGGCATGCGTTGTATATCTTCGATAACTTTATCTATCATATCACATGCTTCCTTATTTTCTTGCCTTCCTATATTGTATATTGTTTCATTAAGTTTTTCACCAACCTCCTTGAAAGTCTCTTTCATTTCTTTCGCAGCATCCTTATAAGAGCTTTCGGTGTCATCCGTTGGAGGCTTTTTGCGTTTATTATTGCCACGAGCAATTTGTTGCGTCTCTTCAACAATATCTTCCAACCCTTCCACGTCAATAGGTGAGTTTCTTTGTGTCTCTTCAGTCGCATCTTCGCCAAGATCAGTAGCTCCATGACCGGTAGCTCTATCCTTACCGAAGATTTTACATAGATTATCGAATTGTGGAAATGGTTTATCGTGAAAACATGCAACACCTTTATGACTCTACAAGAATGACACAAAATTAATTGGTTACTATTCATTTACAATATGTTTTAATGATGCAAAAAATACTACAAACATAATCATTATAGTACCTTTATGTACTCATTCCAAACTTCAGCATCAGCGGTAACACAACATTTATCCGTATCCCAGCCGAATCCACTCGTGTTTGTTCCGTATACCATGTCGTGTACGATGTTGAAATGGTTTTTCCATGTCTTCATCCTTGATTTAATATGAGGCTCTGCTTTCAAACCCGAGTTAGGAAGACTTACATCTAATAGTTGTTGCACGGCCTTCAAATAGCCGGGTTTGAATCCGTTTTCAGCACCACCATACTTTCCGGATACATGTAGCTCCAACAATGCTTCAATCAACTTTGCATCCTCTTCGGTAGTCCATGTGTGTTTGTTTCGGCCTGCCATGCCTACAAAAAATGTTTACAAGATAGATGCTTGAAAGAGTAATTCAACCATTAAACATAATATTATCACACCACAATGAATTAGAAAATATTATACAACAATCCTAATAGCCCCTGTTTATGGTTGTATAACTTAGTCATAACTTAACCAATTAAACTATTTTTTAATTCTAAAACGTAAACAAGACAGAAGACTACAATTTGGAAAAAAAATCGCCTAATTACGAGGTCGTATGAAACTTTTATGATGGTTCAAAGTTTGACAAAAATTATAAAAAATGTTGTCATTATATACAACAGTCGTAACAGCCCCTGTTTAAGGCTGTACAACTCAGCCATATCTTAACCAATTAAGCTGTTTTATTATCCTAAAGCGTAGAAAAAACAGAGGACTACAATTTGGAAAAAAAATCGCCTAATTCCGAGGTCGTATGAAACTTTTATGATGGTTCAAAGTTTGACAAAAATTATAAAAAATGTTGTCATTATATACAACAGTCGTAATAGCCCCTGTTTTGAGGCTGTATAACTCAGCCATATCTTAACCAATTAAGCTGTTTTATTATCCTAAAGCGTAGACAACACAGAGGACTACAATTTGGAATAAACATTGCCTAATTTCGAGGTTGTATGAAACTTTTATGATGGTTCAAAGTTTGACAAAAATTATAAAAAATGTTGTCATAACATACAACAGTCGTAACATCCCCAGTTTAAGGCTATATAACTCAGCCATATCTTAACCAATTAAGTTGTTTTATTATCCTAAAGCATAGAAAACACAGAGGACCACAATTCGGAAAAAAATTGCCTAATTCCGAGCACATATGAGACTTTTATGATGGTTCAAAGTTTGACAAAAATTATAAAAAATACTGTAACAATGTAGAACAATCCTAACAGCCCCTATTTAAGGGTGTGTAACTCAGTAATATATTAACCAATTAAGTTGTTTTTTGA